CTCTCTCTCTCTCCCCCCCTTTCTGTGTGTGTGTGTGTGTGTGTGTAGGAGTGTGGGGTGTGTGTGTGTGTGTGTGTGTGTGTGTGTTTGGTTTGGCTTGTTTATTTACTGAACAGTTGAACCCAGATCCTTGCACATGCTAAGCAAGTGCTGTACTAATGAAGCAAACTAGCATTCTTTTGAGACAGTGTCTTGCTAAATTGCTCACATTGGCCTTGAACTTGTAACTTTTAAGGAATTCTTTTTTTTTTTTTTTTAATTGGCGGAAACAGGGATTGAACTCAGGCCCTTGCATTTGCCAGGCAAGCGCTTATTCTACTGAGCTATCTCCGTGGCCCTTGGCCTTGAACTTGTGATCCTCCCTCTTCAACCTCCTGAATAGCTGTGATTACAGATGTATATCACCACAACCAGTGCTGAAATATCTCATGCTTCAGTTTGCTTCTCAGAAGCCCTACCATCTTGGCCCAAGCAATTGTATCTATGATGTTTCCTGTCTATGACAAAGACAGAAGAGTTCCCTGTAAGCTTGATCATGTAATAGCCTGCATGAAACCCCTTAGCAGTGTCCTTTGATTTTAGAATAATTTAAAAACTCTTAACAGGGCCAGAGGCACCTGATACTTTTGTAAGTTTCCTCCTTGATCATTTTCAGTCATTCCAGAGCTTCTGCTGGCTCCTCATAAGGTTGTCTATAAGGGGACTAAAGTAGCTTTACACAGCGCAATAAAGTGTTTTGAGTAAATGTTACATGGATTTGTGCAATTGTCAAAGCTCATAGCACTGACATACATGTGATACGTGCACTCTATTTCATGGAAATTATACTTCAATAAACATAATATTTCAGTGACTTGAGACTAAGCAATTTAGGTACCTTTAAACAAAAGATCAGTTATTTATAATTCTTCAATATAAATCACTGCTGAACTAATCATTTTGATTAATGAATCTAATGAATCATCTAAAATTCTGCTGTCATGAATCAGTGAATTTCTCATGGTTAAAAGTGCCAACAAAACTCAAGTCAGATCAGTACATGCCTAATAAAACGTAAATACACATGTAAATCTCAACACTGCTAGGTAAGATTACCCAGAACAAATATTTCATCTCTAAGGCAAAGCCTAGCTTGGCTTAAGGATCACAATGTGATGCCACTATAATTGCCTCTTCAAAATGACAAAAAAGAAAAACACAAGAATTACAGAGCTTCATGTGTATGCCTCTATACATTTGGCAAGATGCTCTTGTGTGTTTTTTGTTACAGACTTTTAATGACTGTCACAATTATATTTTGCCTTTTTAGTTTTTTTTTTATAAACTGGGTTTGTTTGGAAGAACTCAAAGGAAAAAGGAAAAAATTAAGGTTTTTGAAGGGAAGTATTACAGATTTTCTTCCCATGGGATTGAAGATGTGATTTGAAAAGAGATTTGAGGGGAGCAGAACAAAGACCTGTGTTCCCTCTGTCATTCAAGATGGTCTGTAAGGCCTGAGACAGCCCTAGGGGCACAAATAGGTTACATGAGGAAGAGTCAAAGTGCACACTGTCCTCACTCCAGCCATACTACTTTATTGACCTAGACTGCACCTATGGCCTCATGGGGACTTCCCCACAGTCAGAAGGAAAAAGACCCAAGTCTAGTTCACAGATGCTAATGCACAATACACAAGCATTGCACTGAACCAGCCAGCTGCAATATGACAGCCTCTTCCTCAGACATCCTTGGAAAATAGAAATGAAGTGAAATCTTCCCATGGGTCGCAACTTCAGGAAGTGGGCTTGGCTGCTCGCTTAAGAACTAATGGGCCTATGTATGCTCTGTGCCGATGTATGGGCTGAGACCAGTAGGTTGGCTGGATGGTCAAGGATGGGGCAGGAATGTGATTGGAAAACTGATGATGAGGAGATTTAGGGAAGAGGGTGGTGATGCATCTCTCTGAATGGGCAAAGCAATGTGAACATGAATGTGTTCCATGTGAGTCCTTACCAGAGGATGATATCAGCAGGGAAAGAGTTTAATCAAGCGGATATGATGTTTTGTTCTGTGTGTAGTGGTCAGCCTCTTGCCCTTAGATAATCATATCACCCAAAGGGTTTGCAATAAAACATGGTGTAGTGTTAGGTTACAAATGGACCTCAGCAACAGGGACCACCACTCACCCTGGCTCCCCTGGCTACTTCAGGGCACATGAACTACACTGTATTTCTTTCACCCTGGAAGGAGCAAAGTTTTGTTCTTACTAGAAAAGACACTTGCCCTGGCTACTCATTTATCTTCCCTATACACAATGCTTCTGTAGAACTAACAGCCATGAAATTAGAGAATGCCTTGTCCATACTCATGATATTCCATCCAGCACTATTCTGATTAAGAAACTTACTTCATAGCCAAAACAAAGGAGGACAGTGGTCCTATGTTCATGGAATTCACTAGATTAATCATGTTTTCAAAAATCCTGAGGTAGGTGGCTTCTTAGAATGGTAGAGTGGCTTTTGTTAATAGCATGATTAAAGAGCTAATTGGGTAGAAATATTTCACAGTGTCATGGAAAGGTTTTCTAGAAGGCTGTATATCTTCTGAATTAGTGTCATAATACACCATGGTTTCTTCCAGCTAGAATTCAGAGATCCAGGAACCAAAGGATGGAAATGGAACAGCATCCCTTGGATATAGTGTGTCCTAAAACTCATTCTTAAATTTAATTGCTATTGTGATGGTAGGAGGAGGTGGGGACATTAACAGATGACTAAGTCACTAGTAGGAATCAATGCCTTTGTCATAGGCCTCAGTGAGTCATCATGAGTCCCTGTTGCTGTCAGGCAAGCCTTCCCCACCTGTTTTGTCCCTTCTGTATGTCTCCCACTTACCTTTCCATTTTCTGTCATGAATTGAAGAAATACAAGGCCCTTATGTGATCATTGTCTTAGATTTTCCAAGCTCCAGAACATGATTTCAAATAAACTTCTATAGTTTTCCAATCTCTACTATTTCATTTTGGCATTAGAAAATGGACTTAGACACTGCTAATGATCCACTAGCAAAAATGTCTCACATATTCATGCTATGCCTTCTTACTTACCAGTCTTGATTCAAACAGAAGAATGTTTTCACCAAGACATACAACAACACTGAACTAGAAGACTGACACTTTAGGATACGCACAGTACTGAATCAACAGGCCAAGAAATAGTAATTGTGGAGGATAGGGCAATTTATCCAAACCACCAAAGGAAAGCCAGACCGTCTGAAACATAGGCAGAAAAGAGTGTGCCTGAGATACAGGAGATTCCTTAGGGTAGTGGTGGATAACTTAAGGTCAAGGTTTTATTGTGTTTTTCTTTTAAGACAAAAACTAGTAATGTAGAGTTGCTTTTTTTCTAAATTAAAATATCAACAGGAGCTGATGTTTTGTTCTTACTGGAAAAGACACTTGCCCTGGCTACTCATTTATCTTCCCTATACACAATGCTTCTACAAAACTACTAGCCATGAGATTAGGTTCAACTATAGTGCTGTAAACTTTTGTGATAATTAAGTGGTTTGGAGATTGCAGTATGGCACTCAGTTTTTAAAAGATACATCAGTGCTGCCTCAGACCAAACCTAAGTAATTGTCTTAATTACTTTTCTTATTGCTGAAACAAAATACCCCAAGTCCAAAGTTAAGGGAGAAGAAGTTTATTTAGCTCAAAATTTGTAGAGGTTTGGGTCTATAATTAACTGGCTCCAAGATAAGTGGCATAACAGAGGAAAAATAGTTCACTGCAGGCAGAAGGCAGCGAAGCAACTAAGGGTGCCCACTGCTTTTCCATCCCTTATGTCTTATGCAGGTTACTTCTTAACCACTAACCCTAGTGTTCTTGATCCTAACATTATACCGTGAATCAATTCCAGTGTCACACACCCTAGATCCAGCCACCTCTGAAAAAGTCCCACATGAGGTGTAGGGCAGACATCTAGACACAACAATAGTGTTACCAGGCCCAATACTATTTTTTAAATTAATTTTATTGAGAAACAAGTATCAATGAAACAGTTTCAAAACAGGTTCATAGGACAGTTACAATAATTAATACATTGCATATTATTGTCTCCTAGTAGTTATTCATAGTACAAGATACAGACATGATATCTTGTCCAAACATTATTAGTACAAACCTTTCTTCTCATTGAATTAAGAGAAAGTAGCTGTATATCTATCCTAACTCTTCTGTATATACAGATACAAAATGGTCCTTCATTTATAGCCCCTTTCTTTGTTTAGTTTTGTCATAGATGGGTATTCCATTGTCGTTTAAATATTGTAGGTATGTGAATCCAGCAAAATAACCTAATCTAGTCCAGTAGTCCATAATAATAGTGAATTATCCATAGGACTGGCAATGTCAGAAGTTGTTGACTTGAGCCTTCTAAGCTCAGCATATTATTATGGCTTTACTTTTTATACTTCATTTTTATACTTTTCTGCTGGATGGTTAAGACCAAGATAAAGCAAGACCTATATAAAAAGAAATGTATCTTTTGTATCTGATAAGGTCAGTCAAGTCCCCTCAGGATTTATCCTGTAACCCTGTAAAGCAGTTTGTAGATCCTTTGTCAGTATCAGTCATGTGGATGAGTCACGGCCATTGCTTGACCAATTTGGTCTCTGTGAAACCCTGAGAGAATGTCTTCCCTCCATGTGACTGTCCTTAGGCATACTTTATATCATCGATCACTTTCTTCTGTGGCCCCATAATCTCCTTGATCAGAAAATTTGGGACACCACTGAGTTACAGGATGTTACAGTACAGGTTCGCTTATGTCCTGAGTCCTCACTGACCTTGAATGGCTAGGAGGCCCTATACTATTGAGAGTTAAACAGTACAACTCCATTCAGTCCACACTACTAATGACCCACACATTCCATGAATGAGGCAAAGTGGACCAGACACTGTCTAAAACTTTCATCCGATCTTTTCCCACCCTGGAGCATTTTCTTGGTCTGTACTCAGCAGGATACTCAAGGAGTACTGAGGAAGTCCTTTGAAGATTCCCCAAATTCTCTCTCTAAACAGCTTCCTAGTCTCTGCTCCTAAGAACATTCTGTACATTGGTTTCACTGATTCTCAATCATGAGCCCTCAGGGGGTCCCCTGGACTGGGGCTTCACTCTATTATGTACCAGAGTCTGGAAATAATTCGAAGCAATAAAGTGGGACAATCAGAGAACTTAGCAAATTCACTTCATATATCTCAGAAATCATTGTCCCTTGCTTCCCAGTTTCCACCTTCCTAACATTTCATATACTTTCTCCATCTGTGCTTGTGTCATAAAAGGGAGCAGATCTGATCTGGATGGCATTAGTAAATCTAGATAGGTATTATGTCATCCAGACTAGAGGTAGAAATTCCTATTCGAGTAGCTTCTCAGTGTATATGGCAATTGTTCCCAAGGAACACCAACATCTATGGGTACTCAAGTCTCTCACATAAAATGGTGTGGCATCTGCATACCACCTATGCACACCCTCCCATGCACTTTTCTCTAGTTTACTTACATCTAATATAGTAAGCTTTGATTCCTGAACTTAATTCATTCTGTGATTCTGCAAAAGATGGCCACATTCATGTTCATGCAGAAAAGCAGGTCCATCACCTGATGCAGAGTTCCCAAACACAATCAAAATTTTATTAAACACTACAATATAAACAATTATTTTATTGTAGTGATTAGAAAATAACAACAAGGGGGCCTGCCCCTTAGCTCAGTTCTTTAAGTGGCTGCTTCCACAAAGCAGTCAAGCTCAGGTTGCTGTGGTTTGATCCCCCAACTCAAGCCAGCCAAACCTGCCCTGAAGGCATTAGGAGCAAAAAAAAAAAAAAATCCTTGGAGCTGGGGAGATAGCTCAGTGGAATAAGTGCTTCCCTGGCAAGCGCAAGGGCCTGAGTTCAATCCCGGTTCCACAAAAAAAAAAAAGAAAAGAAAGAAAAGAAAAAAGAAAAGAAAAGAAAAGAAAAGAAAGAAAAGAAAAGAAAAGAAAAGAAAAGAAAAGAAAAGAAAAGAAAAGAAAAGAAAAGAAGAACAACAAGAAAAATATCTGTACATATTCAGGACAGATGCGATATTTTTCTGAATATTTTTGATCCACAGTTGGTTAACTCCCAAGATGTAAAACTCACTAATACAAAGGATTTCTTGTACATGGATTTGGATCAACGTTTATGGGGTCACAATGAAAGGAAAAACTTACAACCTGGGAAATTTTATAATACTTGGCAGATGAAGTAAAACTGGATCATTTATGAATCAGTAGAATTTTCCAAGATATTGAAGATGGAATCATGGAAGGATGTGTCTGTTTCTGGAAAAGTTGAATACTCAAGGAGGCTGATGTGGGTTAGAATTACTTTGGGAAAGAAAACTGAATTTATGGGCCAGCCCATAAATAGCTCATCAGAATAAAGCACCTGCTTAGGCAGGCACAGGGAATAGGGCTCGATCCCCGGTATACCATGCTGGCCCCATCCCCAGGGCATACTGAGATCGCAATTGAGACTGGGCATAGTGGTGTGTACCTGTAATCCCAGCGCTTGGTAGGCTGAAAACAGGAGGATCACTACAAGTCCAATCAGTATAGTGAGACTCTATAGACCCTGTACTAAATACATTTTTTTAAAAAAAGACTGAATTTAGGATACCAAAGGTTTGCATGCCTAAGTCAGACATTTAAAACTTTACCATGTAGTGATAGATAAGACAATAATATATTTGAGTGTTTGGCATCATGACTGGCACTATTAAATATAAATAAAGTTTATCTCATGCCAGAAAACTTCTGACAATAGATTTTTTAAATTTTGTAATGCTATTTCATTTCTAGTATTATAGATGCTAAAATCTGTGAGAATAGGAATTCTTTTGTTACTCAATAGTGTAGGTCACACCTGGTAAAGAGTCTAGCATATTAATATTCAGCCAGTGCTAATTACAATGTTTAACAAATGAATAAGTAACAGTAAATCAATAAATGTCTATACATATCATAATAAAATGACACAGGGGCCAGGGAGATAGCTCAGTAGAATAAGTGCTTGCCTGGCAAGCACAAGGGCCTGAGTTCAATCCCTAGTTCCACCAAAAATAAAAAATAATAAAATAAAATAAAATGACACAATAGCCTTTTCTTTTTAAACAAAATAGAGAAAATATTTTGGTATTCTGAGGACAAAAGCAAACTTATAAGTGTGAGAAGATAGCTCAGTGGTATAAGCACCTGCCTGACAAGCACAAGGTCCTGAGTTTGATCCTTGATACTGTAAAAGAATTAAAAATAAAAAACTTTATATACTTATAATTTAATAGGAATGAGGATCAGAAAATAAAGAAATAGTAGCTGAAATTTTGCAAAATTAATAAAACACCCAAACATAAGAAATTCATCATTTCATGCATAATTTTAAAAATCTAGCTGTGTAGATAGATAGCTCAGCAGTCTAAGCGCCTGCCTAGGCAAGTTCAAGGACTTGGGTTCTATCACCAGTACCACCTGCTGCGCCAGCCCCACCCCAGGCACACCGAGCTGGCCACCAAGACTGGGCGTGGTGGTGCACACTTGTAATCCCAGCACTGGGGAACCTGAAACAGGAGGATCACTGTGAGTCTGAACTGCATAGTGAGACCCTAGAACAAATACATAAAAGAAAAAAATTTTAAAAGAAAATTCCATATCTTGAGACATCAGAATTAAACTATAAAATATTAAGACATTGAGAAAATCTTAAAATAAATAACAGTGAATATAAAATCATAAAAACTAGGACATGTTAAGCCATGCAGTTATATGTAAAAGATGAGCAAGGCAATGATCTGGAGAATATTCAGAAGATTCTTTAATCTAGGAGTTAATTGGAAAGAGTCTCACCCTGACTGACTATATGTGCTGATATCTGTGAACTGGGCTACTGCACTGCAGATGGTAATTTGTAATAGTGGTTTCATGTTGGGAGTGCCTGTCATTGTGGTATTCTGAA